CAAACAATTCGTAAAATATTCAACTTTGCTGATGGATCCGTAATTATACAACTAAATATACTTAGTATGATGAAAAGTGTAATGAATTATTAATATACTTATATAACTTGAGATATAAACCAAATTCTGACATCTGAATTTTTGGGCAAGATATTGGAAACTGTAAATTAATAAATTATAATGAGTAATATGAATGTTATCCAATTATGAAATGTGGTGGAACTATTGTTTATATGACCTATCATATAATAGCTCGGAAACAAAAGGTAAATATTAAAACAGCAGAAGGTATTGGGCAGTGGCGGCGCTAGGCATAAACAGATAAAACAATTGCTTAGAGCTTTTAGCAGCGTAAGGAATCTCCGATGCACAGATTGTTTTATTATTATTTTCATCTTAATTTTGATTTTACCTGTTTTAGTATTGTACTCATTTGGAAAAACAAAAGTGTTTTCAATGAAAATCGTACAGAAACACGCCACGTAACGGGCGTTTAAAAATTACAGCAGCAAGACATATCTCAGTCAGGCACATTGCATTGCGCATGCAATGATTCATTGCTATCACGCGCACGATTAGAGAAAGGTACAGGTGCAGCGGTGTCAGTATGTGAGTATAAATAATTTTTTAACAAGTGTATTAGCATGTGTTGCGTTGTTTATTTTTTGTTTGAGGAAATAATGTAGTGGGTCATATTGAAAGTTTATCTTTTAAACAGAAGTGTAAATATTTAGTTATGAATGTGTTGCTTCTATAGGAGATATAAGTATCATTAATATAATTACCAGTAAAGTTGTTTAGTGAACGAATATCTTCAGTCAATGAGCGGCTTTGTTTTTAAAAGTTACGTAAGTCTCGGTACAAGAGTAAATGACTATACGCCATTTTCTGTTTATTACACATGTTTGTACGAACTGACTCTGTTTATCTATCTTGGACAGTGGTTGTAAGACTGAAACTAACTGACTACTATCATACAGCACTTGTAATACATCTCCAAGCTAGATATAAACAAATTTACTGTAAATAGCAAAATTGTTTCTAAAATTATTGCATTGTTTTTTGGAAGTTCATAACTGGAATGACGTTTTTCCTGGGGAAGGAAGGGAAACTATATGAAATTGATTAACTGATGGTTTGAATTATGTTTTTGGATCAAGCTAATGTGCCATATATAAAGGTGCTTCATATAAACACAGAAGTATCAAATCCTGGATTATTAATCCACTTGTCACTTACTTATAAAAGAATAATACAATACATAAAAAGATACAAAGACCTACAAAAAATGTCTCGAAATAGCCTTTCACTACACGTACAGTTACATCTTATGGATTGTTACTAGTAAATATAACGATAATTACAAACTATTGCCCAGAAAAGTCACGTGACGAGCAGCATATTTACCTGTTATGTCTATGGGGCTGTTACTTAATGTATCCTAAAAAATGTGCTCAACAATGCCAGGCTTAGAATATAATGCTATAGATGGGATGGGTCAGCCTCTTTCACTAATTTGGAGCTGAGAGCGGCGTAGTGGTTAGCATACCGGACTGCGCTACTGAGGTACCGTGGTTTGTGTCTCGTTACCCCTCTCCCCACAAAAAAAAATCGTGACCCGCACTTTGGAGCGTAGGTGTGTTATAAAAGTGACGGTCATACTCCACTCTTCGGCCTGTCAAGAATTGGCGGAGTTGACTAGCTGCATTCCCTCTACTCTATGACTTCAAAATTAGGAACGGCTAGAGTATATATCCCTCGTGTAACTATTTAAGATCAAACAAGCAATCTACTAGTTTGAACCGTAGCAAACAATCCATTCGTCTGATGCGGCATTAAACGTCACTGACCCGGCATGGCCAAGTGGCTAGGGCGCTTGGCTCGCAATCTGAGGGTCGCGAGTTCTAATCCCCGTCCCACCAAACATGCTCGCCCTTTGAGCCGTGGGGCGTTAAAATGTGACGGTTAATCCCAATATTTATTGGTGAAAGAGTAGTCCAAGAGTTGGCGGTGGGTGGTGATGACTAGCTGCCTTTTTTCTAGTCTTTCACTGCTGAATAAACGTCACTTTTGTTTGAACACTTTAGACAATCTTCTTGTTCAGTTGAGCCCTCATTCGTGGCAGTAAGATGGTAAAATTAAAATGATTGTAAAACTCGAACCATCTGATTCGGCCAGTTCTTTACAACGATTTGTGGTACAAGGCAGACAGTAAAGACAGACGGACAACTGCCTTTTAGATAAAGAAATAAGGTTACGAATCCCGTAAACTATTTGTCCAATTTAGTCGTATCTTACCCATTCAGATTACAATACTATGTGCATTGTTAAACACTTTTAATGATCTAGAATGGATCTTCTTATAATGTATGGACACGAGACGACATTATAGTCACAACAAATCAAACAAGCAAGCGTTAAATTAAAATAGTCTTTCTTTGTTATAAATTTCGCGCAAAGCTACACGAGGGCTATCTGCGCTAGCCGTCCCTAATTTAGCAGTGTAAGACTAGAGGGAAGGCAGCTAGTCAT